TTTTGCTCATTTCTATCTATTTATCTATCTATTTCTTGTGTGTTTTATTCTTTCTTCTTATTATTATTATTGTTTCGGTCTGGAACAGGTGCATAATAAATTTCACTGCGCGTTATACTGTGTAAAATTGTGTGTGTGATAAATAAAGGCCTTGAATCTTGAATGGTCAGCTGTGACCAGAGCCCTCCAGGGCAGTTCATTTCAAGCTGTTTGCTCACCATTGTATTGACTTTGACTACATAGTTAAAAACCTTTTTTGTCAGTCAGACCTTGACATAAACTCACATGTAGTGCCTCTCTACTCAGTACAATAAACTTTGGTTTAAGGCTGGCACAACTTTAGCCATGCTAGCTAAACTGTAACCAGTGCAAATCGTTAAAAGCTCCTCAGGGATATTATCCAATAAGAAACGTGTCGTGCATTACCGGTTACTGACGCTCAAAAAACAAACGACACAGAAGGCAAACAAAGGGTTAACATACTCACTGAAGCGCTGCCGTTACCGCTGGTTGCCACCATGGCTAATGACGTCGTCCTCTGCGTTCAACCGTGCACGTCACATGACCAGAGAAGCGTAATTTGATTGGCTGGGTGTTGGATCGACTTTGGCCAGAATCGATTGTCTAAAGTCGGATGAGCCTCATTTGCTTCCATAGTTTTTGTTATGCGGACTTGGAATCAATGTGTGGGAAGATGGCCTGTGAAGGCCCAGCTGAAGATGAAGATGGTGCTCCAGGACACCAGCTGCCAGTCATCTCAGCTAATTACCCGGGAACTGAAGACCTGTACTCTGGCCCTTGTTCTTCCCACCTCCGGTCACATCTGATTGGACCACCACCACTATCACCCTGTGATAGACTGGTTACCTGTCCAGGTGAACATGCCTTCGCCCTGAGTCAGCTAGGATTGGCTCCAGCCCCCCATGACCCTAGTGAGAATTAAGCGGTATATAGATAATGGATGGATGGTCATTAAGAGTTTTATATGTTAGAAGCAGGATTTTAAATTCTTTTTAACCAGTAAAGCAGTGACAGGGTCACATACACCCAAGGCTCACTGATGTACATGAGAAGTGAAGACTGACCCATTTGGTCCTATGACATAGAAGAGCTACTGTAACACAAATATCTAAAAACCGTCATGCCTTATTCATAAATAGGTGACAGCCTGCTATGTGTGGGGCTGTGTGACCACAGACCACTGAGTGCCCATGCTGACCACTGTCCACCACAACAGGGCAATGAAAGTAGGCAGCCTGTTCTTGTGTATTACATGGCTAGACAAGTGTGTGTGCGTCATCTACCTGAGGAAGCGATAGCAACAAGATGCACAATGGGAAGAGGACAAGCCAGTGGAAGCGGTGCTTTGGGTAAGGTTCTGCTAAAAAACGTTGAGCCCTGCACTAATATGGATGCTACTTTGACATACAGCACCTGCCTAAACATTGTGACGGACTGCATACATACCTTCAGGGTAACAGTTTCCCTGGTTTGAGCACACTGTCACACAGCAAATGGTGATCAGCAATGTTTAGAGAAATGTGACAAAGAGCTGCATTGGATTCCAATTCCACAAAACCCTGTGACAAGTGATGCCTGATCATCAAAAACAAGTGTGATCCATAGAGGCTTCTCACAATGTCAAGGACTTAACATTGTTTCCTTCAGGATTTTTTTCAGCAGTGGGGGGTCAGGTCACCAGTCCATCGCAGGGCTACACTTAGAGACAGACAACCAAGCACACTCACATTAAAACAATAAAATGAAAAATTTTATAAAAACAAAAACAATAAATAACAACTTCTTGATGGTGCTGTAGAATCAGTGGCAAAGTTTGCACCCAGGCTCAGAACAATGAATTTTTCATTTATTTATTTATTTTTTAATAGAAGAGCTCTGA